CTCGCATTGACAAATCTTCAGAGATCAGGTGATGCCTCCTTTTCCTGGTACCCAGAACATAAACGATAGGAACACACCAAGCTCTTCTAGTTTACACATTTCCTAAAAAATTAGTTTGCATTTGCCCTGTGTTTGGGTTCAGTTCATGATAGGTGCAGTTTATCTTGATAAGAATGTAATTGAACTTTATGCCTTTTGCCTCTTATTAGAATTCAAGTTTATTAACATTTAACATTTAATTACCCGATTCAAGATTTTTTTGTTCCATATCTTAGCAACTTTCACTTTTCTAATATTCTATTTTCCAACCACCTCTTTCCAATAAGTCTTGCTTTTTGAATTTTTTTATTTTTAATAAACTTATCTATTTAAATAAAATGAAGCAGTCCTGATCTGAATTCACGCAGATCAACTTTACCGCTATGTTGAATTCAAGTTGTTCACCATTGTGTTAATTATCACATTAACCTGATTCTGTTTTCAGAGGACTATAATGTGTAAACCATCTGATCCACAGGGACATGTATGAATCTGGAGATTCATTGATCTGAGTAATTGATCTGGGCTTTTGAGGTAGCTTGTTCCAAACTTTTTACACAATGCTTTGTGTTAAAAGTGTCTCCTTTTCAAAAACACATTCTCTTAGGTTCAATTTGTGTCCACAGCTTGATTCATTGGGTGGGTTTAGGCAACATTTTTAAGGACTTGAATTCTTGAATCAGGTCACCATGTAGTTTTCTCTACATAGGACTAAAATGACTCATTTATTACAGTCTTTCAGTGTAGGACATTCCTTTATTGCTAGTGGTGTAGCTGATTGCTCTTCTAAGAACAGAAATATATTTTTGTAACATGGTGACCAAAATTGTGTATTCTGAATACAGCTCAGTAGTGTTTCTTTCTGTTTTAACATATAAATTCCTTAGAAAAATCTGCACTTTAAAAAATATCTTAGAAAAATATCCAATCTAGCATTTCCCAAGTCGTGTCATAGATTGTGTTTTTGCTATCTATATGTGGCATGCTGCACTGTACAGTACATTGTGTTTGCCCAGCCTTGAGTTTTGGCTAAATCGATTTTCATTTGTAGTAATTATTTTTTCATTCTCTTTAAGCATCTATGGTGTTCGCTGATCCTCCTGTTTTGGTATTACTGGATTTGTTTAAAATTCTGTAGTATATTAAATAACTCGTTATCACACAGACATGCCAAATGTAAATTCATTTATCAATAGGATTTGTCATCAACAAAGCTGTACTGTGAAATCACGTTCTAGCAGCATCTTTTGCAGGTGTTAGACGCAATGCAATTTACCATGCATGCATTGCATCAGGTTACAGATGTTGTCTTGAATAGGATCCTGTTCCATTTCTCTCATTTCTCATGGAAAAGCATGAGCCTGATCTTGAGTCTCTGAGGTATAGATGCCATGTGTTGTCCTAGCTCATCTCATAATAATTCAATGAGGCTCATATGTGACTAGTAGTACAACAGCCACATTCTCATTTTGCAAGGAAGATTTTTTATCTTTCTGGGATGCTGTCAAGTCAGTCAAGCCAGCGGGAAGGGCAGTGAGTGAGGTCTTCAGTGTAGTGATGTGAAGTCAGATTGTCATCAATCACTTCAAGTGGAATTGTGTTATGGCTAAGCACGTCTTCCTAGACCATTACATTTGGATAATGATGTTCTGAGTTCTTGTCTCTCTGGCTGTGTCCTACTGTATCTTTTATGGCCTGTGTTGGTTTGTAAGGTCTTGTTACACTAGAAGCTGCTGGCTCTGAAAAGCCCCAGTCAACAAAATGTGCTGACTTAATCCAGCAATCCAATATACAGATGGTATATAGGTAATGTTCTCTTGATAAGTGTATGTTTTCCTTCTAAGCTTTTCTTTTTCAGAGGGCTTGTCATTCAACAAGGTAAAATCGCCTTATCACCTGTATCCAATCAACTCTCTCAGTAATGAGGTGATTTAGTGCTTATGCAACTGTCATAGGATCTTGAATGTTTTATTGTCAGTCATAATTCATACAAATTATGACACATATAATAAAATACATATAATATATATATAAATTATAATCAATGTTACAGTTCAAGTAAGTAGCTGCGTCAGCATGCTTAGGCTGCAAAGGAACAAGTAAAGGTTTATTCCATACTGAAAAAAGAAAAGAAACACAACGTTTCGGCTCCACAGTTTATTCAGCTCCATGGCTCATTCTGCATGGAATAAATCTTTACTTGCTCCTAATCAATGTTATAATCAATGGTATGTTTGTTTCTTTTGATGGTCATTGTAAATTAAGGACTGAAGTGGTCCTAATACACAGCCCTGTGGTAGGTCACCACAGTTTAACCATTCACCCTTATCTGGCTGCTCTTATCTTAACCATTCACCCTTATCTCTTTTCTATTAACCTGTTCTCAGCCCAGAGATACAGTATACATTTCCTTGTGAGGCCTACTGCCAATTTGAGAACTTGAGAATCTTTTATGAGCAGCATTACCACAAGATTTCAGAAAACTTTTTCATATGCTGTAGTTGTATTCATCACTGTTTCAATTTTACCTTTTTTTGGATGGCTGCTAGATTAGTTATTTTCCAGTCAATGGAAATTAACCCTTTCCAAAGTGATCGTTGAAACAGTTTTATTCTATGAATAACATTGCTTTTTTGAGTACAATTATTACAGGCCCGTGAGATTTCTTAATCATAAGAGCATCCAACCTGTGCTAAACTTCTGTTGATACTTCTAAATATATTACTCAGTACTTGCTCCTGGGACACCAGAGCGAATTATTAATTTAATAAATTAGCCATTCAGCTTTCATTGCCTATATTTTGAAAAATGAAAAAAATATATAGCCTTCTATCCTTGTTTATCTATACCCGCAACTTATAGTACTCAAGTTCCTTTAATGGGATGTTTGATAATGCTATGTTTTAAGGAGAATATTTTTAAAATATTGTCTTTCACTTTCATATTTCATCCTTATGATTTTGATCTTATCTCTTTACACTTCTCTCAATTCTATACAGTTGTCTTGCAACTTACATGGTCGTGGCTTTACGTGGTCAGTTATGGAAAATAAAAAATATTGAAAAAGTGCTTTATTATCTGAAAAATTAATCAAGCACACCTACAGTACGAGAGCTGCAAAGAGAGTTAGTGAGCCTATACAGTCGTCTTATTTACTTTTACTTACTGTATTTATACTTACATTTAATATCTTGAATTACCAAGAGCGGGTAATAGGAGGTTTCTATAAAGGTTATAGGGTCACATTTGACACTCTACCTACTGTATATAGCTTCAAAACATACTTAAAAACACATTGCCAATTCCCAATGTTTCCCTCACATCTGTTTTCTGAAAAGACTACATCAATACAGGATTCCTCCTATTAGGTATTCTGACAAACAGCAAGCAATGGTAAGTCATGTCTACCATGTCTATCATTTCAGTTTTAGTTGCTGACAGCCTTGATAGTTTTTCCAAATTAACAGTGGAAAATGTTAGTCTCACACTTATTCCTTTATACTGTATATACACATCCCGGATTTCATTCTATCAGATTGTAATACAATTTAAGGATCTGTACCACAGTCCTAATATTATTCCCCTTGAAAGTTTTTTTTAAATCTGATTCATATAGATTCCGACACTTTTGATTTGCTGATGTTTCTTTTTGACACATATTGCTACACCAACACCCCCTCCTGTCTTTTCCAAATGCCGTGTATCCAATATACTATATTCATCACCATCACTCTCTGTTGGCCAGTATATGTGTTCCCAATTACTGGTAATTTTAGCAGCAGGCTCTTTTTGCTGGATTTTGTTCCAAATACTTCTGGCATTTAGATATAAACATTTAATTACCTTGTGCTGTGTGCTTTTTTTGTCTTGGGTTTGCTTTTTGACTCTGCTCTTTGTGTTGTCTCTTCTATTTTTCATTGGATTTTTCCATTCCGTTCTAGTTTAAACGTTTTTGAATTTCTCTGTAGATCCTTACCCAAAGCTGACCAATGTCCATTGCATCTGTACAGATACATTTTACCACAGTAGGGTTTCCATTTGCCAAGAAAGCTAAAGTCTTTAGTACAACCATGTCCTCAATCTCAATCAGTCATGTGGATGGATTCACATTTGTAATTACTCACCTTTGAATGGTGAATTAAGGGTCCATGAGGAGATGACGGATTTTGTCATATTCATCATTGGGTGTCTAAGATCTTTGAATTTGTTTATTATGTTGTCAACAGAACAGTAACAACTGGGTCTACACCTCCCTTTGCAAGAGACCTGTCTACTTTCTGACTTTCAACCACATTGAAAGGGTGACAGTATACCATCTTACTTATTCTTATTCTTACTTATTGTGTTTGGAAGTTTCCATCAACTACCACTTCAGTTTCCTTGTCTGTTTGGTAGCACTGATTGAAGCTGTTGAGAGTGCAATTTGAATGAGATGTGAAAGTGGAATGCTGGGAGCGAGCTGCTTTGAGCTTCCAACTGTATTCCTCAACTGTCAACTATATTGGTACAACCTGTTAGGCAACGTGGTGCTAGGTAAGGTTGTTAGGATAGGATACTGTATTTTACTTTTTTTGTGAACCAGTGATCAACTCCTTTCTGTCTCTCTGTGTTATTTCTCTCGCGACTAGGGATACACAGCTCCATGAATGTAGGATTTGCCCGTGCCTCCATTTCATCCTACTCTCTCAGTTCCTGCAACTAATTCTCCAGTGATTTTACTATTTTAAGAAGGAAAGTGATTCAATTGCAGTTTTTGCTCATGTATTTTGGCTGTTGGATTCTTCCAGCATGTTGTCCATGCTGTGAATTACAGGTTTAGGGATAATTTCTAATCTGAATATTTTATAGGATACGTTTATGGATAAAATGAATAATGTTTTATCCTTAGTTCTTAAGAGGACTATTATTCACCTGTTTTACACTACAGTATCTACTTAATTAAATAAATAAACTAAACTTACCGCAGCTTGCCTGTGAGTATTTGACAGAATCCCATGAATCTTCACTTTATCCTTTTCCATTTGATCAATATTTACCCACAGGTTCTGGCTCATGGGATCTGATGGTCCATATGTTTTAGATGTGTAATAGTTGTGATCTGAATCTTCCTGTTAAAAAAGAACAGAATCATTATTATACACTGGACTGTATTAGGTATACTCTAATGTATTGCAATATAATAGTACTACTCATTGAAAATGGCATATTATCATAATAAAAGTAACAGTGAAAAACATAAAATGGCAATTAAATACACTAACTGAAAGGAGAATGGTTAATCTTTTGACCAAACAAATACTGAACTAGATCTGACACCAAGTGACAAAAATAACTAAAGAAAATAAATAGAAATGAAATACTGTAAATGGGGATGTCTCCAGGCTACAAAAAATATATCAATGCATTTGCAGGTGCACCATGGATGAGGAATACAGTGTGTTAATCTATATTTAAACAAAACTTTTAATGTGTCCAGATCTAAAATATCAGATCATAGTTCTCCTAGAGCACCATTAGCAATGTTCATAAAATCGATCTAAAAACCTGAGGTCACTTTTTTTTACAAGGTTGTATCTATCAATATCAA